TGGCTATGTAGCTGAGTTAGTTGTATCGAACCAGTGCTATTATTGTAGGGAAGAGACTAGAAGGATATCTGATAAAGATTGAGCCAAAGAGTGATAGTGCTGAGAGGGATAAGTGGAGAACCACACATACCTTGCTTTACACCTGGCTACTCAACTCAATGGTTCTATCGATGGCCTCATCAGTGGATAACATTCGAAAGTTGAGCGACATTTGGGTGAAGCTGAAGAAGATTTATGCTAGAGCTGTGAATGACATGAGGGTGTTCCATATACAGCGAGGGATAGAGAAAGTGTTTCAGGGTGATAGATAGATTCAGGAGTACTCTACAGATCTGGATCGGCTGTAGTAAAATCTTGATCATTTCTCTCCTATATCGAGCTGTGGAGATCCGGGGTGCAAGAAGGGGTAAATATTTGTACAAATGAGGATTTTGCAATTTCTAGATCATCTAAACCCAACCTTTCATTAGAGGTGATTGGTTCCCCAAGGCTAGGCAACGATTCCTTCTCTGGATGAGGCCATCGTCACGATGATACAGGAGGAGAGTCGCACGAGGCTACACTGTGTCGAGTGGACTTCCAGGTATGCTATTAGCTTTGTCCATCTCGAGTGGAGGTATGACAGGTGCTCAGAGGGTGACCCGCGAGGGATACAAATGTGGTGAAGTGGGGCACCTGAGCAAGGCTTGTCCAAAGCCACCCAAGGAGAGAGACGGGTGGACGTGGATAGTCTAGAGACTGTGGTCGTAATCGTAGGGGCCAAAGGGATGGATAAGGGAGCTACCAGACAAATTTGGTGATAGCGGAGAATGAGGGAGAAATAGGTGGTATTTATCGATGAGGTTCATGAGCTTCTAGAGATGTTGAAAATGAAGCAAGAGCAGCAAATATTTACCGATGAGGATAATGAACTCCTGGAGTTGTGATTAAGGCTGCATCTACCTTATCGTCATTAAAGGAGAACACTGCTAGTTATGCTCACTCACGCTCTTGCTCTATATCTACCATAAAATCACCAGAATGAATAATAGATTCTAATGCATCTAGACATGTGATAGGTAACGATAGTGAGTTCACTTCATCGAACAACTCCGAAGAGCATTTAGATTGTACAACACAGCTTGTGGTTGGTAAGAGTACAATGAGACATACCAATTTATGACTTTATCAATATTTTGCACTCTCCCTCATTTCTAGTGAACTTTTTATCCATTAGTGTCATTATTCTCTTACTAAAATGTGTTCTTTTCTTTGATATTCCCGAAATGATCCTTCAAGAGAAGGGGCAGGCCAGAGACTTGTGACTGACACGGGACATAGTGAACTCTGATACTTGGATAAAGAGGGGAGTGACTTAACGTTGACATCCATGGTAGATAGGGTTGAGTAGGAGGATCTGGAAGAAGCGTGGAGGATGTGTTGTTGTTACATCATAGGTTCTTGGGATACTATTCGTTTAGTCTTTTGAGTTGTTTGTATCCGTCTTTGTATGATAAGATAGATAAACAACTTATGTGTGTTGTATGTTAGTTTGGTAAGCATACTAGGAGTTCTTATATTAGTTCTTGTATTTTTTATTTTGTGCATTCAGATGTATAGGGAGCTTGTTCTATAACTTCGATAAATGACTAGATATTTTGTGACTTTTATTGATTATTTTTTTCGTGTCGCTTTGTTATATTTGATGAAAAACAAAAGTGATGTACATGCTTGCTTTAAAGATTTTCACAAGGCGAATTTTAGACTCAATACGTTGCAGTAGATGTATTGAGGTTTAATAATGATACAAAGTATACCAACAATGTGTTTGGGGAGTACATGTCAGCTCAGGGGATACAACATCAAACCACATGTCTACGCACACCGACATAAAACAGAGTACCAGAGTGGAAGAACAGACACTTTCTAGAGATAACCCGAAGTATGATGATCTCGATGAATGTCCCAATGCACCTGTGGGGGCAAGTAGATTTGACAGCAACTCAATTGATCAACAGAATGCTTTCAAGAGTGTTGGAATGACAATTTTCTTATGAGTTGTTGAAAGAAGATAATGACGGGATCCTCTCATTGAATGTATTTGATTGTGTATGTTTTGTGAAGGACAATAGATCATCAATAAGGAATCTAGATTCCAGAGCTGTGAAGTGTGTTTTTGTGGGTTATTCTGTTACTCAGAAGGATTATGCTTATTAGAGTCCAATAGATAAGAGACTGTTTGTGAGAATGAATATGAATTTTAGAGAATTCGAACCGTACTACTCCTTTGAGGTGACCTCACTCTTTTAGTGACTCATCATATAATAGAGGTATGAGGTGAGAGGAAGAGTAGTGATGATGAGATATTGATACATGTGGGAACGATGCTTTGTCTCATTGTGTGGGAAATAATGAATGAGGAAAAACCGATCCTTGAGAAAAATGAGCTCAAAGGTGGTAGAATTCAAGCTCAAGGGGAACTAAGGTGTATACAAGGAGACAAAACGAGGGAACAGTACCTATCGTATCACTCGTGCTAATAATCCCGTGTCCCGGTTTACCTCGACTCTTGAGGCACGTACACTATTCATCATATAATCTATTACACAGGTGATATGATTCCTCTCTTCTCATACTCTCATGATTTTAAGAAAGTCCTTTCACAACAATGCACATCATTCTTCTGATCGTTATTTTCTTGATTGCTTTGGTTTCTTACATGAAATTGCTCAGTTTGTCTCATAATCTAACATATTACCTGTATACAAAGCATTCATTGCATCTATGGATACTGTCTCTATACTGGATCCAAAGTGGAACGCTGTCATGCTGAAGGAACGTGATGCTCTCGATAAGAACAATATGTGGGAGCTCGTGTTGCTACCAACAGTGAAAAGGTAGTCAGATTTTAGAGTCTCATTTTAAGATTGATCACTACAAAACATGGTTGATAGCGAAAGAGTATATTTAGATGTAAGTCCTGGCTATGATGAGACATTTACACCAGTGGCAAAGATGAGCAAAATTAGAACACTCATCTCTCTGGCTGTGAATGGGATGAATGTTACACCAACTGGATGTTAAGAATGCATTTCTTCATGGGGATCTGTTAGAAGAAACTAAACAGTGGGCAAGGTGTGTAGATTCGGAAAGTCACTGTACGATTTGAAACAGACTCCTCAAGCATGATTTGACAGGTTTAGGGGAGCAATGGTAGACATGGGTTATTGACAGATCAATGCCGTCACACAGTGTTCTTTTGCCGACATGGTGGTCACATTACTATTCTTGTTATGTGGGGATGATATAATTGGCACTGATGATGATGTGGGGGGAGATTGCTCTTTTGAATTCAAGTCTAGGCCAAGAGTTTGAGGTGAAAGACCTAAGATAGTTTAGATACTTTCTTGAGATTGAGATAGCTCTGGGAGTAGAGGGATTATTCTATCTCAGAGGAAATATGCGCTAGACTTGCTCACAAAGATAACCATGTTCGGATAAAATCCTGCAGTTTCACCAATTAATTAGAAGGGAAAGTTGAGTGTAGAGGCAGAAGAGTCAATTGATCGTGTGAGATACTAGAGGTTTGTAAGTTGCCTCATCTATCTCAGTCAAACTTGTTCTTACATATCATTTGCAGTAAGCGTAGTGAGTCACTACATGCATGATCCAATGAAGGTTTACATGGATGTGGTGTATCTGATCTGAGATACTTGAAGAGTGCACCAGGGAAGGGGTTGATTTTCAGAAAAAAAAAGGTATTTAGGCATTGAGGGCTACGGTGACTCTGATTGGGCTAGTTGTACTGATGACATGAGGTCCACATCAGGATACTGAATGTTCGTAGGGGACAATTTGGTCTCTTAGAAGAGCAAGAAGTAGTCGGTAGTTGCGGGGTTGACTACAAAAGCAGAGTGCAGGGCCATGGCCTTGCGGGTTGTCGAGATGTTCTGGCTGAGAGCTCTATTGGTGGAGCTCAAGTTGGGCCAAGGTGCTCAAATGAAGATGGGTGCTACAAAAAGTTAGCAATCAGCATTGCCAACAACCTAGTGCAGCATGACAAAACTAAGCATGTGGAGATAGATAAGTTCTTTATCAAGGAGAAGCTGAATGATGGACTACTGAAGACAAGATATGTAGCTACTAGAGAGCAAGTAGCTAACTGTGTCACCAAGGGACTTAGCTCATTAGATCTATCTAGGTTGTCTGATAAGATGGGCTTAATGAATATTTTTTTGCCCATCTTAAGGGGGAGTGTTGAGAATTGTATATATTTTAGGGTCCTATTTTTAAATAGGAAATATAGAAGTGGTCAAGGGTTTTATTTGTAAAAAAAGTTGTAAGGCTTTAGATAAACCCAAGTCTATTATGAATAGAAGAGGTTTTTTCAGAGCAATTAATCCTCGAGGCATCTTATTTCAAGATTTAGTTATTTTGTGCACTAAATTCGTTAAACCCACTTAAAAAACGGATTTAGAAAATCCGGCATTACATCAAAAAATTGATCGAGGAAGAGAAATTCAGATTTAGCAAACTATCGGATTTATTTGGCATTTTTTCATATTTGGATGGATTTAAGTTAAAATTGCATGTAAATCTTATTAATTATTCGCTGCCAAACTAGGCTTAACTTTTAGTTGTGTTTATTGTTCATGTTATCAAACTTAATTTTTTAGACGTTTTATGGCTGTTTAAATTTTTTATGAAAATAGCTAAAGCATGATCCATTAGTAATTTTTCTTAGAGATGACATCGACCATATGATTTGAGTTTGAAGAGACACGTTTAATTTGAAGGAGGACAGTCATTCTCCTCCTAGAAGAGTAAAGTTCATGCCAATTGTATCTTTATTTCAGGGTCTTTATTTTGGCACGAAGTTTAGCCATTTGAATGCTATTTTTCACAGATTGCATTTTTCTAATTTTCAGGCGTATAGCTTTATTGAGCAGTATTTGTTACCTTTTTAAAGGTTCAGTAGAAAACAATTTATATTTTTGTTTAGAACCGTTTTTCTGTTTCAGGTTGCATCTTTTACCAGTGAAAAGATTTCTGTGTACAATTATAAAAATGCACTACGAAATGCCTACAATTCAAGCGTTCAGGAGGGCCTTGCTGCTGGGGTGGGTCTTGGTTTTGCCATGTTCTTCATGTTCTGCAGTTATTCGTTAGGCATTTGGTATGGAGGAAAGTTGATATTAGACAAGAGCAAAGGGTACAGTGGTGCAGATGTTATTAATGTAATATTTGCACTCAGCACTGGTTCCTTGTAAGTTACTGGCATCCCATTGGATTCTTCGTCATGCATATCAAAACTCTACATCCATTATATGGTTAATTTATACTTGAATGACAACAGAATGGATTATTATTTAGACAATTAGACACGTTTTATATCTAAAACGGAATCCAAACATCAAAAAATAAGAGTATTGGTATGAAAAAAATTGGGAAATCCTGTTTTTTAGCAAAAATATGACGTGAATAATGCGATTCTATTTCTTCCAGGTCTCTAGGTCAAGCACTGCCTTGCATGACATCCTTTGCAGCAGGCCAAGTGGCAGCACACAAGATGTTCGAGACGATCAACAGAAGGCCTGTGATTGATGCTTACAACACAAGTGGAAGGAAATTGGATGACATTTGTGGAGATATTGAATTCAGAGATGTGTATTTTAGCTATCCAGCAAGGTCTGCTGAACACATATTCAGAGGGTTCTCTCTTTTAATTAACTGTGGCACAACTACAGCATTAGTTGGAGAGAGTGGTAGTGGGAAGTCAACTGTAATCAGTCTAATAGAAAGGTTTTATGACCCACAGGCGGGAGAGGTCCTCATTGATGGTATAAATATTAAAGATCTTCAACTTAGATGGCTTAGGGGTAAGATTGGGCTTGTGAGCCAGGAGCCTGTTCTTTTTGCCTCAAGCATTAAAGATAACATCTCTTACGGCAAAGATAATGCAACAACTGAAGAGATCAGAGTTGCTGCTGAGCTATGTAATGCTTCGAAGTTCATTGATAAGATGCCTCGGGTTAGTCTTAGTCTCTACTCTAAATGTTTTTCTTGCCAACCGCGAGATACCTATTATCACCCAAGTTGTTCATAATATTCAGGGATTGGACACGATGGTCGGGGAGCATGGAACTCAACTATCTGGGGGCCAGAAGCAAAGAATTGCCATTGCTCGAGCTATCCTCAATGACCCAAAAATATTGCTACTAGACAAAGCCACCAGTGCTCTCGATGCCAAATCCGAAAGAGTTGTGCAGGAAGCACTTGATAGAGTCATGCTGAATCGCACTACTGTTATAGTGGCTCATCGTTTGAGCACAGTGAGAAATGCTGATACTATTGCCGTTGTTCACGGCGGTTCTATAGTTGAGAAAGGTATACATCCTACCAGGCTTGCAGCGATTTAAACTTTCATTGCTTTTATAATGTAAGAGGATGCGACATCTGAACTTGTACTTTTAATAGTTAGTTTGGCTTAAAAAGAAGTTACTTATTTGAAATACATTTTTTTTTTCAGGATCGCATTCTGAGCTTCTAAAAGATTCAAATGGTGCATATAGCCAACTTATCCGGCTGCAGGAAATGAACCAAAATTCTGATCCCATTTCTCAATCTGACAATGAAAAACGAAGTCTTTCTCTAGATGGAACAATATGTTCGAGCCAAGACATGCCTATCAAACATTCCATCAGCAGAGATTCATCTTTTGGGAATAGCAGCCCCCAACATTCGTTCTCAGCAGGCTTTGTTTTACCTGTAGGAAGTGATTTCTTCGAACATGCAACAGATGCACCCAATAGTAGCACCGCTGAACAATCAAAGGAAGTACCTCTCAGTCGTCTCACCTCGCTGAACAAACCAGAAATCCCAATCTTACTTTTCGGTGCAGCATTTTCAATCATAAATGGGACTATCTACCCAGCTTTTGGTGCAATCCTATCTGGCGCTATTAACACTTTCTATCAGCCACCGGACAAGCTCAAGAAAGACTCCAAGTTTTGGTCTCTAATGTTCTTGATTTTTGGGGTAGTTTCTTTAGCTGCAGAGCCCGCAAAATCATACTTCTTTGGGGTAGCTGGTTCCAGATTGATAAGAAGGATTAGATTTATGGCTTTTGAGAAGGTGGTCAACATGGAGATTGCTTGGTTCGATGATTCTGAAAACTCAAGTGGTGCAATTGGCGCAAGACTATCAGCAGATGCGGCTTCAGTTAGAAGTCTTGTGGGTGATGCACTATCCCTGATTGTTCAGAACTTTACCACCTTGATCGCTGGTTTGCTAATTGCTTTCATTGCTAACTGGCAACTCTCACTTATCATCTTGGCTATGATACCTCTCATTTGCCTCAATGGATTGATTCAGGTGAAGTTCATGCAAGGATTTAGTGCTGATGCGAAGGTTTGACTACAGCCTTATAGGAAATTGTTTAATTTCGCTTTAAACTATGTATATAGGTGGAATATATAACATCTGAGATCTGATTTTCAGTTTGGTGCAGGTGATGTACGAGAAAGCAAGTCAGGTGGCGAGGTGGCGAATGACGCAGTTGGAAGCATAAGGACAGTTGCTTCATTTTCGGCTGAAGAGAAGGTCATGGAACTTTATAAGAAAAAGTGTGAAGGCCCAATGAGAACTGGAATCAGACAGGGATTGATTAGTGGGATTGGCTTTGGGGTTTCCTTCTTCTTGCTCTTTTGCGCGGATGCTGCCTGCTTCTATGCTGGAGCTCGATTGGTCGAGGATGGGAAGACAATGTATTATTGGTGTGTTCTCTTCAATATTTGTCCCGTGATATCCCGAGTGGAATTTTGAAGATGCTGGAATCTGTCTGTTATGACAGTTTTTTCATGTTTATTTTACCTCTGCTAATACCTTGCCTTGATATGCCTGTAGGTTTTCTTCGCCTTATCAATGGCAGCCATGGGAATTTCTCAGTCAAGCTCTCTAGCTCCAGATTCGACTAAGGCCAAGTCTGCAACTGCATCTGTGTTTTCAATTTTGGACCGGGAATCTAAAATTGATCCCAGTGATGATACTGGGATGACTTTAGACGCTGTTAGAGGCAATATTGAGTTCTGTCATATCACCTTCAAATACCCAACAAGGCCCGATGTCCAGATTTTCCAGGATCTTTGCTTGTCTGTTAACTCTGGGAAGGTAAAGTAAATGCAGCATTACAAAATGTTTGGAGCCATGGAAGCATATTTTCAGCTCTAATGATTTTCATTTTATACTGCAGACCGTTGCATTGGTAGGAGAGAGTGGGTGTGGAAAATCTACAGCAATAGCGTTGTTACAGAGATTCTATGACCCAGATTCGGGCCATATACTTCTAGATGCAATTAAATTGCAAAAGTTTAAGCTGAGATGGTTGAGGCAGCAGATGGGTTTGGTAAGTCAAGAACCTGTTATGTTCAATGATACAATTCGAGCAAATATTGCTTACGGGAAAGAAGGGAAAGCTACTGAAGCTGAGATTGTAGCTGCAGCTGAGGCAGCACATGCTCACAATTTAATATGCAGTTTGCAGCAGGTGAGTTACCCATTTGCAATTTATCATATGATATAGTCGTTGTGCTTCTTAATCATTTCATTTAATCAGCTTTTTTAGTAAACCACTTTCTTATCAATCTTTTCCAGCAGATCTCTTCTTTGATAACTTAAAGGAATGTTTATCGCCTGTTATTTCAAGACCACTGAAAAAAAAAAAATCTTTTTTTTTTCTTGGCAATCTTAGTTTTAACTTGTATCATATCCAACTTCGCTTTAGTTCTACATTGCAAAATTATTTCAATAGCCTGGACGGATGCATTTGCTTGATTTATAGGAACTTTGCATTTTATGGAATCAAGCAGTTATGCTGAAATTTTCACTCAAACTGACTGGTTAAAGTAAGTTGAGAAATTCACACGAAATGATTATGTTATATAAATGTGCAACTATGTGTCTTTTATATCTATCAATTTTATGTAAGGAATTTATGACGCGTTTTAAACAGCCATATTTCGGCATACCTATCACTGACAAACCTGGCGTTGGAAACTGTAGGGCTATGATACAATGGTGGGTGAGCGAGGAATTCAACTATCTGGTGGGCAGAAACAGAGGATAGCCATATCACGTGCAATAGTGAAGGACCCAAAAATATTGCTCCTCGATGAGGCTACTAGTGCACTTGATGCCGAATCCGAAAGAATTGTTCAGGATGCATTAGATCGTGTGATGGTCAACCGGACGACTGTGGTTGTTGCACACCGCCTAACGACAATCAAGAATGCCGATCTTATTGCAGTTGTTAAAAATGGAGTGATCATTGAGAAAGGAAAACACAACATTCTAATCGACATTAATGGTGGGGCTTATGCCTCCCTTGTAGCACTGCACTCAAGTTCAACTACTTCATGAGCAATCTAATTTAGTTTTAGTTTTGATGGCTTTGCAATACATCAACTTTTTTCTCTCAACAGTCTGTATTATGTGGACAATTTATACCAGTAAAATTGTCCTTTCTTCATGGAAATGCTCTTTACTGCCTGTAACTTATAAGGATCTTATGTGTACTTTGTGTTGAAAAGAAACCTAATAAAATCTGAGAACTGTTGACTTATAGTCTAAGCTAATGGGAAGTTGCCACTTTGTCTTTTCTTCGGCGGGACGTCGCTAGTCAAGTTTTCAAAGATAATTATAAGCTTGTTTGCTAAAATTTCATCAGTATAGATTTTATGCCATAAAGCTTTTTTTGTTTATGGAATTTGAAAGTTTAAGCATAAATGACAAAATTACACGTCTAAGTTAATATTTGAATTCAGCAGAGAACATTTTTTGTAAGGGTGTCTACATACATACCACCCAATCACTATGTACTTGCATATCTAACAAAAAAAATAATAATTTTACATTTATACAACCCATATCTTTCGTATCATATCAAAAATACTACTTTTAACTCTTATAAAGTGAAACACATGTTCATATATAGGTAAGGTATATGTAAAAATTAAAGCTTAGGTGTTAGATATGTAAATACATAGAAATTATCCTTTTTTAAAGCCATAACCAATCGGGGCAATGTATTAGACCCAAGCTCCTGGTTCTGTTCCTTTAATTTGCTTGTTCTTTTGTGTAGAATCAAAGCTTTAGAGAGTAAAGCCATACAAAATCATTGGAGTAATTCATGAATTATTAATAAGAACATTTAGATTGAGTTGGGTTGACTACCTGCACTGTTAAATATAATCAAGTGACATAAAATGATGAATCCATACTACTCAAATTGGGTTATGTTTATGAAGCTTAGAAATTCCTTGTCTTTTGAGAAATTTTTTTTGGGCCTATTTTATTTCCTTAATTTATTTTATTGATATCATTCTGTGAGCCCTCTTTGCTGAGAGACAACCATCGATTAGGCTCTAGTGATTTATCATCTACCTAGTAGTTTAGTTTTGTCTTTATCAGGTAGTTTTCATATTAAAATAATATTATCATTCCTTGATAATTCTATCAAATATTTTAGAACTCAAGACAAATCATTTTAATCAAAAGTTTTCTTAGGATACCTTGCAAGATTTAGTTAACCACAAAAGTATGTTCCTATGGGTTTGTGCATGTACATTCAGCAAAAATAAATTTTGGTTTTTTGATTATGTGTTGCATTCATGGATCTTCATGATTTGTATGGAGCCTGTTGATTAGACTTTTTTAGACTTCTACCTCCTATGCATCCTACAAAGGCCACCCTATTGAAATATTCCATATCCTTTATTGTTTTATCGTTTTTCCCTTTCAATTTTTATAAATCTCTCATTATTTTATAATTTTCATCATCACCTTGATGTGATAAGGTGGATTTTGTAAAGTGATTATTTGAAAGGGAAAATCCCAAAAAAAAAGCACTTACGCATCACAAGAAGGGGCGAACACTCATATTTATATAGTTTTTATATTTCATATTTTTCATATCATTTATACATCTCACAATAACAACCACCCACCGTTACATATACATTTTAATTTAATCATGTGTCAGAAAAAAATTACTAGAAATAAAGGAGAGTTTAAATCAGCCTAGGTAAATTAATTTAACTCTAAGTCTTTGTAAAAAATAAATGCTAACACTAAGTCTTTGTAAAAAATAGATGGAATTTAACTCTACAGAGAAGAGTTAATTAGATTTAAATGAGTTAATGGAAGTTAATATAAAATAACAAACAAATTATCATAGCCCAACCACTATTTCAAGACCAACAATGAGAAAAAATTTTGAGAACCCCACTACACAATAAAGATCAAGTGCACACCATGAAACTAAAGGCTAAGTTATAATCATTAAAAAAGCATTAGTAAGGATACTTCATAAAGATAAAAAAAAAATTATAACAAAAATTGATGCTTAAATTTTGAAATTTAAGACCACAAACTTTAATTTTCTACATTTTATTTATTCATTTCAAATGAAGCACTTAAGCCTCATTTTATCTTTATTCAATTAGTTTTAGGTTTAATTAAGAAGCAAAGGGGTTAACCACACCTCTTGCAAGGAGAGAATCTTAGTGTGGAATTTGTATGGTTTCACTCTGCTACCTCATCTTCTTTCGTAATCTTTTTTGTAGTTTTGAATTTTAACTTATATAACAATTGAAATAGATTAATTATTTTTTTACATTAACTAAAATAATATCATTTTTTTTTAAATATTAGGCAATGTAGTCTATAATGTTATAATCTTGGTGTCTAAAATTCATAAGTGAAAGATTTAGTACTTTTCATGTACTTAAAAATGTTATCTTTGGCAAACTTTCATAACATGCTTTCTATCTTCTTATCACAATCTTAAAGCATTTCTCCCTTAGTAATAAAATAAATCATTCCACTCTTAAAGATGCCATCCACAATTGGGGTTCCATAGCCTATTTTTAATTCTCACTCAATTGCCCCTAAAATATCATTAATTGCAAACATCTAATCCAAAACTTGTCTTTATACATTCTCTTAATGTTCTATATCCATTTTAGGCCCTCAAAATACTTTTAAGAATCTATAATAAATTCTAAGACAAGTTAAATTTGCCAAGACTATATCACCATGATCTATTCTTCATATTCCTCCATCCATTGGCTTCTAAACCACTTAAAAACTTTGCAAAAAAAAACTCTATATCATATCTACGAACACTATCTTAACATTCTAAGGTGATTTCAAGCCCAAGATCTTCCACCATAAGAAATCTTAGAGCTGAATCCCTAAGGGAAGCTCTAGGGTTGGACAAAACCTTGCCCCTTGACTGACCCTCTCCTTTCACCTCCACATCAGATAAATTTATTATAACTACTAAAAAGTGTTCTCGATAGACACAAATCGCCACCACTATCAATGAAAACCTTAGATCACATATTTAAAGACAAATTCATCCAAAAAAAAATGTATATTACCATTCATTTAACCATAAAGGTGGTTTTCCTTAAGTTTCATAATTTTCATGATCCTAGTAATATTTAACATTATGTAAAGGTAGTTCAAAAAGTTTATTACTATTTTGAAATATCAATATGATTTATTTTCACACTCTTCATCAATCTGCAAGGATGTTCTCTGTTGGATTCTATTTTCTTAAAGCACTTCAATAAATTTTAATTATGATAGGGACTTATTCTTACCCTCTAATTTATATTTTTAGCAAATAAAAATAAGATAAATATTCTACTTTTCTACCTATTTTCATGAATTTTTTAATCATTTCTTATCCAAATTATGTGATTCAATTTTTGTGAGACCTCTTTTTCATATTGAATAGTTTGAAACAAAGATTCTGACATTTAAATTTGGTTGATTTCGCTCTTTAATTTGCATTAATGATGTACCAACACTCTCTAAAATAAATCTTGCTTGTTTTTCATCATCCACTGGGAGCTACTTATAGTTCATGTGTAAACATTAATAAACTCATTTAATTATCCATAAACATGTAAAAAATGTATAGATAATTGTTTCTCTGGCACCATTAGTTGGACATGCAATCATACACATAGTATTTGACTTTTCCATTAGCATAAAGGCTCATTGTGTTTGCTTGACTAAAGCTCATAACACCAATAGGCATGAAAATATTGGGCAGGGTGATAGTTTTTATGGATGTGAAGTAAAAAATAAAAAATGAGTGGACCCTTGAGTAAGAATATTCCAAATAATGAATGTTATCTACGTGCTTAACTCATTGATCCGACTACACCAACTATTTCCCTATTTTAAGAAAATGACAATCAATCATGTTTTCACATGAGTCCTTTAGATTTCTCTCACTACAAGGATGATGAACAAATGAAGCAAGGTTATGATATCTCATAAATTCTCAATTAGTTATCTAAGGAAGTGAGGAAGAGATAATTTAGAATGAGGAATAATCACAGTAGTAGAAGAACATGAATTAATGAGGACAAAGGATAATCCCATCATTTATCATAACACATCTTTGTTGACCATTTAATTTAATCAAAATTGTTAGAACTTGAGTTTGGAGTTAGAATCATCATGAGAAGCTTCTTGAAATAAATTTGGATTGAGCATGAATTTGACCTAAATAATTTTAAGAAAATGATGCATTGGTTTTATCGATGACTAAGATGGTCAGTTAAGTGTTAGGATCAAATTCAATCAAATGGGACAATTATGTTCTTAAATCAGTCAATCTAGAATCACAACTCAATAAACAAGCTCACTATTGATCTTGTAGGGTTCAAACTTAACTATATGCTTTGAGGTTAATTTGGTAAATGGTTTAATAAAATTATTGAAATAACAAAATTGGATGAATGGTTAGTTGAGCTAATTAGTCCTAAGATGATTAATCCATTTTAGTAAAACTTTAATTTAACAAATTTGTTCAATTAGTGCATTAAAATTGAAGATGAATTAACCAATATTATCATTCCTTTGTAGGTACAATTTGCCTTGTTGGGTCAATCAGAGTCATTTAGGTTAATTTTCATCTAAAATGAGTCAACTTAAGTTCATTGAGTAGATTATGAGATCAAATTGATCCGATGTTTGTTGGATCAACTTAGATTAACACAAGTTATTCTAACTCAAGGTGAGTTGAATTCAATCCCTTGAGTTCATTAAGACTATTTAGATGAATTATGGTATTATGTCAATCGACATTAAAATAGTTAATTGTAAGTTCAATTTATACATTTTTGTTTAATCTATCCCATTAGCTATTCAATGGATTCAATGACTTGAGTAGATCTTGTCGAGATTACTTCGAGTAAAAAAAACTCATTTAAGGACAATTACAATAACTTAAACGGTCTAAGATAGGTTAAGGTCTAGTATACAATTAATAAGTTTATAGGGTTAATCAAAACTACAATGGTCTCCAAAAGGTAACATCATGTTAACATAGCGATCTA